CAAACTCAAGTACTCGTATTTGTACTCAGTCTTGAAAAAACTGGTATCGGGACACCCCTACTTATAATGGTCTACATTTTTTATTTTAAGACTTTTTAAAGATTCGAGGAAACCCTGCTATAAAAAACATTTAATTTTTCCTGAAAAAACAAAGCTAAAACTGGGATAAGAGCTTCAATAAGCCACTTCAGCTGCTCTTCATCACTCACTCCAACTTGGTCACTTATTCCAAGATCAATCTGAACAGAAAGCTCTTTGTTTCACAGACCTGGGATCCAGAGTAGTCGAACTCTCCAGCCTGGCCGATGGAGAGCCCCCCAGAGCCCAGGATGAGGACCTTCCTTGGCCTGACCACCTCCTCGGTCTTTGGAGAATCGGGGTAAGTGAGGTGGTCCATCAAACGCTGCTTAACTGGAGAGGAACAAAGAAACAAACCAGTTTTTATTTATTTTAACTTTAAGAATCCAGAGAAGGTAGACCTCCACAGAGGTTTCATTTGTAGGTTTCAGACACAACCTGCTGGATGATGTGATTAAAAACACACAAACTGGCCTTGAAACAGTCAAGCAGAAGAGAATCTGATTACCAGACGTTGTCGTGTTGCCCTCTTTGAAGTCTTTAACTGTGCTGAGGAAAACATCAAACAAGCTGACCAGATCTGTGGGGCCGGCCATGTGCTCCGGGTGGAACTGAACACTAAAGGATCAGACTGAAGCGTTAAAACTCTTCTCTTAAACAAATTCAAACACTTCATCTTAAGAGACGGCTACCTGAAAAAGGGCTTGGTGTTGTGCACGATGCCTTCGTTGGTGTGGTCGTTGGCGTTGGTAAAAAGAACGTCCCAGTCGTTGGGCAGGGTGTCTGGGTCGACGGCGAAGCCGTGGTTCTGGCTGGTGATGAAGCAGCGATCCGTTCCGTTGTGGATGCATGGCTGGTTGTGGCCACGGTTACCATACCTGAAAAACAAGCAAACAAAACGAAAGAAACAGGTTTAAAAGGGATCCATGGTTAGTTGTAACATTAGACTTTATTTAATAAACATATATTTTAACTGTAAAAATACTGGAGGATGTTCAGTTTTGTAAATGTTTAAAAATATATTTTAACACGGACGGGGCC